TTTTTTTTATTGGTCTTATGAAGTATTCTAATTTGTTGTGAATTGGGAGGTTTTTGTTAAATGTGAGCCAAAATCATCACAATTAAAAGAACCAAAGACTTAAACTACTTAAGTCTGTGTGCACTGAATTTATTTAAAAATGAATTTATTTTGAATTACTGAAATAAATGAACTTTTCCACGACATTCTAATTTATTGAGATGCACCTGTATATATCCTATATCCCTGTGACAGTGGGAATATATACAGTAGCAGCTAGCTACTAACATATTTGTGGCAAGCAGCACAGGTCGTTGTGTAACTCGAGATTAGCTAGTCTCCATCTCTTTATGAAACTGCACCTGTCACAAATATGTGAAGTCCCATTTTAGTATTATTCCTCTTATTTTGTTTTATTTAATTTTATTTGATCAATTTTAACTCCTTTTGGTGCCTGATGAATGTTAATTTTCGACCCTGGCAGCAAAGGGTCCAGTATATGGAGTTATAATTTGCTTTTTTACCTGTGGCTCTAAATGTATAGTAAAGGGCCTGAAGCAGTTACTCTTAACCCTTTGTGCTCAATAGTAAATGACACTTACTAGTGTCTGTTGGTGCTCACATAATCTAATAGCATTAACCTGAGGGGACAAAATGTTATTCACTCTGGAATTTAGATGATGATGTGTGGGAAGATGTTCCTGAATTTAAGGTGCCAAATACTTTAGAAGTGGTTCTGGAGAGCAATCATAGGATGGTGCAGAGGATGCTATACAGCAGCTGGCAGTTTCCAGCTTTGTAGTTTATTGTACATGTAGTTAAGTGCAGGTTATTTCTGGAGGATGAACTCAGTGTTCAACTCAAGTGTAGATGCTCATGTGTTCAGTGCAAGTGTGTGTTTTTTTTTTTTTTTTTATAATGCCAGTGCTATTCTATTGTCTTGTTGACTGATCTGATTAATTAGAATAATTAGAATGTATTTCAAAGATCATTGAAGAAATAAAGTACAGGAGTTTGGACAAGAGCAAGAACTACCTACTACCTCCTCTCTTGGCGTAGCCACCAGATAAGATTCATTTTGTTGGCACGGTCCTCTGCAGTCACACATGCATTGAGGTTTTGACCTGAAAGTGGTGTCAAAGGCATTCATTGTATCACAACAAACCTGTTAGGAATTAACAGTTTTAAGATTAAATCTGGTCTACTGTCACACATTTGGTTTAGTAACTGAACACTGTGGATTAGCGCAAGGATTCTGCATTTGATGAATATTCAGTGTAGGATACATATGCTATGCCAGTGACTGTAGGACTTGTATAAGAGGATTTGCATGTTAGTGTGCATGACAGGTAAGACATAAACATAGAGTGTCCATGTGAGGTTGGAGAACTGTATGTTGACGTATATTGTACTTGTTTCCCAGACGTTCACGGCCTGGTGCAACTCTCACCTGAGGAAAGCTGGGACACAGATTGAGAACATAGAGGAAGACTTCAGGAATGGCCTCAAACTAATGCTGTTGCTTGAAGTCATCTCAGGTAAATTAATTTTAAAGGTGACATATCATGAAAATCTGACTTTTCAGGCTATAATCAGGTCCCCGGTGCATCTACCAACCAGGGGAACGTGAAAAAGATTAACCCAGTAACTTCGTTTTGGTTAGCCTTTTTCTGTAAGCGTCTGAAAAAAAAAAGCGCGTCTGATTTCGCTCCCTTGGTGACGTGGCAAAGGGATCTCATTATAATATTACCGCCCCTTAATCTGTAAGTTTCCAACCACGGCGCCGTCATTTTGATTTCGCAAGCGACAACGGTGTAGCAGCTCTAATGCCATGGCGAAAGTTTGAGCAAAACATGCTAACTGTTCTGTCATTGGCTGCACAGAACACTATTTAGAGTCCCAGCCTCAGAGGAGACAAGAGAGCAGTGGATTTATTGATTTATTTACT